CGGCAACTTCCTCGTTCACATGCCTGAATCTGCCCGTCACCGAGGGATCATCTCCTTTTTTTTTTTGTTAGTCAGCAAAAAGAGACAGAGGGAGGAGATCTTGATCGATCTCTCTCTTTTTCTCTCCCGGTCCCGAATGGAGAAAATTGTTGCGGCTGAAGACCAGGGTGCAATTCCAACTGCTGGTAATAATTATAATAATACATGAGGGAATAAAAAAAAAAAGCCAGAGGCATGACGTCTCGGCTGAGGGGGCACAAAGAAAAAGCGAACCACCAGGTAGGGGGGGGCAATGTTGTAGCGAAACCATTTCCAATCTCGTCATCCAGAACCAAATGACCGGCATATGGGTCGGTCATTGGGCATGAGATGGGTAGAACTGAACTGAACGGCCCATTTTGGAGGCGTTCGCTTACCTAGTCCTGCAGACAAGCTGGAACATGGAGCGCGGGTGGCTTTTGGGAGCCCCAATGACCAAAAAAAAATGAATAAATAAAAAGATATCCTCGTATACGGACTACATTCATGGATTTCCCGGTCCGCACTGATCTATCCGCAATGCTAATAGGTAATGTAGGTAGATATATAGTGGCTCGCAAGCTTGGGAATGTCATTACCTTAGTAGTCTAACCTAGGTATTTTGTATTTACACTATATTAGTAGACAGGTATGTAACCTAGGCTAGTTAGATAAGACCCCTCTTTCTCTTTTTTTCCTTCCTTGCCGTCTTTTCCAGCGCGTCGGATTCAGGCTACGTACTATGTATATTACGGAGAACCCAATCTAGACCCAACCGTGACACCCCTGACAGCGATCAAACCGTCAAGGCTCGAAACCAAGATGGGATCCTAGCAGCGCATCAACAGTGGCATTAAAGGATGCGGCGTTTGCGCGCGTCTCTGTTCAGCTCGCCAAACTTGACCAGGAGGCAAATGTCATCACACGAGCGGTTGACGACGACGACGATGTTATTGTTGTTATTGTTTTGCTGCTGCTGCTTCTGCAAGTACCCAAATGGCGATGGCATGCATGCATGTACATGTATGCAGGTGCTGCTAATCTCGGCCGATACCTGCCATTGGGTTGGCTGTCTTGATGGAGGGAGGGGTTGGCGATTTACCTTTGATGAAAGGGGGCCTGCAACGCTTCGTCGACAATGTAGAGTAGCTACGCTACATGGGCAAATACCATGACCCAGAAAAGACGTGTCATAGGTTCCCTTGTCCTTGTCGCTCAAATCGAATCAAATCGAACCAGGGAATTCGTGTCAGACTAGGTATTTTAGTAGATAGAGCCCTAAAAAGCTGTCAGGGGTGTATGCGAATGAGCGACAGCTGCATGTACAAGCGAGCCGAACAGGGCTGCCGACCGAAAAGGAAATGGAGAGAGAAAGAGTGCGAGAGAAAGAGAGAAGCGCGACTGTGGCGATTGTGGCTCGCGAATCTAGCAAATAAGTAGCCGTAGATCTTCCACCTTCCGCGTTGTGGTAACCACATCGTGGATTGAATAGGCCGGTTTGTTAACCATGGGTCTCCATGTTTATAGCCGCAGATGGATGGCAAGATGAGTCGAATAATTTTTTATGGTCAACATCTTGGCGGCTGTAGAGAAAATTTGTCCTTCCCAGTGACTTGAAGATTGTTGAGCCACTGGCATTTGCATTCATTTGACTGAATGACCTGGTCAAACTCGAGAAGTGACGGTTTTCCACCGAGGGGAAGCCGTGGGGATGTATGCAAAGTATACGAAGTCGTAGCATACGAACAGACGGGCAGAAACGGCTATCGATGCCCACTGGGCCGCGACAGTCCTCTTCGCCAAGGGATGCTGCAAATTCCGTGTTTGTGCTGCCGAGTCGTCTCCCTGCATAAGAATGGCTTCACGGGAAGACAGAAGACTGCTTGGAGGCCATTATACGGCCACATGGCTCTTGGGATCTGATCACCAAGCGGAAAATTCTTGAAGAAAAGGTTGCTTGTCGTGACACCTGCCTATCGAAGTCGAGGATTTAGCGGAACAGGCAGGCAACGCGTGGTAAGGAACAAGCTTCGACAAAGTCCGCACCGACCCCCGGCGAACTACTATCTGAAGGTTTCTGACACACAATAATGCCTCGCGAAAGAGAGAAGAAAAACAAAATGATGAGGCTGGCTGATACCAGATTGGGAAGTAGTTGAGAGAAAAATATTAACGATGCACAAACAGGGAGCCAGCTGCATCCCAAGTTTGAACTTTGGTGGCGCAAACGTGTTTTCGGTAGGGAAACCTTAATGCTTCACGCACGAGTGTTGCATGTGGCTCATGAAGCAACGAAATTTGAAGCCATGCATATGTGGTGCTGCAAATAGATATTGGGTATTCGTAGGTAGCTTACACCTACTGCAAGACCTGGCTCAAGTTGTGGTGCAAGTTCCGACCTAGTATTATATATCATGTGGCGACAACTGATCGGTGACGTGATTTGGCATAGCTCACAACGCAGTACAGAGTCATATGAGTCTCTTAGGTCCCGAAGATCCGACCCGGACTTGTTGGTGAGAATTCTCAAGAGTCTTGTTCGCATGGCCGGCCTTTTTTCTTTTTTCTTTCTTTCTCCCGAGGCCTGACCGCGAATACATTCCCACAAGCGGTGGCAGAGGTGTCAAGACTCCTCTGCAGATGACCGATTTCAGAAGAGACTACAATATTTGGCGTACCTTGTATGATTGGTGTTCCCATAGATGTCCGTGGTCATTCCACCACTGTCTTATGAACGAATCATATGGCTTATGTTGCGCATCCATCCGCACAATGCAGTCAGAGTTGGCAATAGTACGCTGAAGCTGTTACCGGAATGGTCTATGAGCTATCCACTCCTTTGTCCTCTGGAAAGCAAGCCCATTGCTATGAGCAACGGGAGTTCTCTCGCAAATAACGGAGTAGTTCGTTGTTTGATATCATCTCGAGAGTGAATCTTTGAGAGAATACGTAGGATACTGATCCGCAGACTGGACTGTAAGCAGAAAGTACTTGAAGGTTGAAGTACTGTTTGGGTTTTGCTTTATAAGTGGTGCCCAAAACGTGGTATGACCACCAGGAACGTGGGGTTTAGTCACGCTGGACAATCCTGTGAGAACAGTTTCTCAACACAGGGATTATCAGAGCAGGATTCCATGGCGAACATGATGTAGTAGGGAGCCGGAGGCGCCGCCATCAGGACAAATTTACAGTGCTAGGCAAAGTCATAAGCCTATGCTGTACTGTAAATAAAGCCTTTCTGATGCTTTCTGCACAGGTGAGCAGCAGTGGCGCCTGGCTCATTGCCTGGTCCTGGTTTCATGGTGCTGCCGGGCGAGCTCGTCGATGCTGGTGGAGTCACGATGAACTGATGACAAGGACACCCGCCGAGGAGAGCCCCAGCCAGCGGCACTGCAAGCCGGCGCCCAACGAAAATTGGGATTGCAGCCTCTTGTCCGGGGGCGCATTTGCGCCCTAGATAGGCAGAGGAACCCATCAAGTAGCAGTTGATGATGGACAGGGTATGGCAAATTGTTTTGATATCGTCGGACAGGTTGGCTGACGGGTCCACTGACACGTGACTATTAAGAAATCCCACGCTGAGCGAATCTGTGTTTCAAATAGATGGCGTACGGGTTGGGATGCTCAGCAAACGTCTACCTAGGCCGGGTGGACATGCAGACAGCGGTGAACAAAAGAACCACAAGGATCGGTTCGATGAAAGCGAGAGGAGAGAGGCTGCGTGTATGTGCGACGGAGTAGTCCTGCAGTCGCGTGCATTGGCCCGAAATGAGCAGCCGTCGAAGAGACTGCCTGGCTAAAGATCCCTGGTCTGGAAGCTGACGGGCATTTGCCTGCGCTCGTCAGTCCGGGAGGGTTGGATTCCTCACCTTTCACTGTTTGTTTGCCTCTTGCTAGACTTCCTCGATACTGCCGACGGACGTGGTGAGCTGCCAGGCCGGGGGGGGGAGACGGAGGGCGATGGCGGCGGTAGGCGTTGCTGCCCCCTAGCAAATGAGAATCAGGCAATATCCGCAAGCTGTAGTTTGGCATGAGTCCAGTAAAAGTATGTGTAA